AACTGTCAAGTAAACCAGATCATGCAACACAAAACTAGATACATGGAAATGATTATTATATGGTAGAAGATACAATACCAGAGAACAACAGAAAATATATATTTCGCACCCGAAAAATGAAACAGGGACATTATTTGGCAACATTTTCGGACAGATGGTCGGAAATGGGAATAATTTCTTGAACGTTCCTGAACGTGTTGATTGGTATACTCAACAATCGTCCCTAGCATAAGCAAGTCGAAAACCTGTTTCCAAATTCCTGATTCAATCTCCAATTGTTTCACAGCTGACCATTTGCTTGTTTGATCTTTTTCAATGAATTCTGCTGGAATTTTTTCCTCAATTTTAGTATCAGAAATGTCCTGCTCTGTATCTGAATGTGATTTTTCCGTTTCGAATACTTCTTTCTCTTCATTGTCATCATCTCTTTCATCGATATCTTCCTCTTCCTCGTCATTGACAGAGCATCCTAGCCGAACAATAGTCCATTCAGTCCATCCTGCTCCCGTTCATATGAATTCATCATGAAATCACTTACATAATATGCAATTAAACATATTGAAAACTAAGAAACATTCACGCTCCTAACTCTACACCGGAGAAAATTGTGCTATACGAGTTTTTGATGAAATATTACTTGCTATCATTACAAGAAATCCTATCACCGCTACACATCTCCGAATAGAAGCAGCATATTGAAATCCTAGCAATAACAACTTTACTGACAGTGATTTTCATGCCACAGGTAGGAGTACTGCTGTCGCTATCAGGTAACCACTCTCGGACAGCATGATTTATTAATAAATGTTTCGCTGTAGTAATAGTAATTTAGCATTCAGAAAGTAATTCTGATTCCAAAATCCTTTCAATAATTCCAGAATTGTTCTCCTTCATTGGTAAAAAAATAAGTGGAGTTTCGAAGACTGTGGTCGAGAAGTCAAATACAAAAATGTGTTGCTTTGAAAATGAGACCGCATCTACCGTCACACGCTTGGCTCATTTCAAAAATCTGATGACACCACTTAGAGAGAATATATAGATACAGTTGATTGATTTGCTACGAGTTGAAAGATAACTGTGATACATATCTCAATATGCAATATTTCAAATTCTGCGTTGTTTACCTGAAAAACGAGGTCAGCTAATCCATCTTCATCTCAAAAAATAGTGAGATATCCCGTGAAAAATTCAGGAATGGGACACCTCTGATATCGCAACGCCAAACTGAATGAAGAGAATGTTTCTTTCTGTGGTGAAAAAACAGTTTGACTTTTCATCACTGTTGACAGGTTACAAAATATAACTTCCGATATATTATTTGTTTTCACGACAAAGAGTGAGTACGTTTTTCCTAGATATAAAGGTGCACTGGTGAAAGCTCTCGTTGAGCTAGTTTCGGAAAATAATCTTTGAGGAAGAACTGAAAGTCTTTTTTATCTTCCATTACACTCCGCTGGTACGTAAGTCACGTTTCCAAAACGCCCAAAAATGAATAAATATTCGATGACTCTTCAAGATATCTATATTTCTTCTCTTCGAACATTTCTCCAAACAAAGTGTCACTGACAAGCTAATGAATTTTTTTTGTGGGCTCCCAAAGTAGAAGGATTTGTAGAACGCAGTGACATTTTGGGGCAAATCATCTGATTTGTCCTACTACACATATATTGAAATAATACTATTATTTTTATTTCATAAAAGCGAGGAGAGAAAATCCCAATAAATTAAGTAAAATGAATGTACCACCTTCTCGATTAACCTACAGACAGTATCAAATTGTACATTCAACAGCCCACCAACAAATGAGATATGACAAGTTATGAACTATTCCTAAAAAATGTGAAACAAATCCTGTTATAGCAATCGTTTCACGATATTAGGGATCATTTCGCTGGCACTAACTTGACATTAAAAATTCAAAAATGTTTTCGAAACTCTCATTCAAATCTTATATTATATGTTCAAGTTGATTCAGAATTCGGTGTGAATATGTCAAAAATATATTCTTGGGTTCAAAATTAGACTTTTTCCACATATAAACATGTGTTCTAAGATCCAACCCCTTCAAGCTACAGCCACTTCCAAGATAGGAAAAAAAAAAAAGATTATCTTAAATATTGTTACTAGAATAACGGATTGAAATCTTATGAAAATTGGTGTTTTTAGAAAATATATCTCCTTCATGCCCTAAAATGACATTATTCCCGTTATTGGTGAGTTGGAGGAGGGTACACACTTTTATTGACCCAAATTGTCTTATAAAAACCATTCAAAACAATTACTTTGCTGGCTATCTGCCACGTCGAACATTGAATTATATTTATTGAACACACACGATAAGAATTTGACAACAGAAATCTTCTGGAATTGGGAATTTACATTCTCCTTTAGAAAATAATATGTATATGCACATATTATCATTCTGAATAATCAACAGAAAACAACTACTTTCCTGGGTATTTGCCCCGTCGAACATAGAACTCTCTCTGTTGAACATCAGAAAGGATTTTTAATATGCATGCTCCCTTTTTGGATATTCAACAGTTATAATTCAATATTCCCCGTGGAAATTGCTGGGAAAGAAGTTATTTCCTGTTGAATATTCAGAATGATATAATGTGCACCTAGTTTCATCTGAAGGAGAAGGCAAATTCTCAACTTCAGAAGATTTTTGTTTTGAAATCCTAATCGCGTGTGTTCAATAGGTATAATTCAATTCGTCGTGGCATATACCCAAGAAAGTAGTTGTTTTCTGTTGAATAAACCGAGAAAGCATTGATATTATCATTACTTAGACTTAGAGAATACGAATACTCAATGTATTTCTTTATATATTGTGTGTTTCATAATTGAATGCTGATCCTAAAGGGCGATAATCCTTGGATGATTTTGATAAAAATTCTTCATGTAAGCATAGGTCCGTAACGGCTTCGTTTCTGAGATACAGGATGTTGAAATTTAACAAAAAAATCAGTTATTCCCCAATATTTCTGAAACCGCTCGGGCTTTTTTCTTCATTACAAAAACTTGGAAATAGTTACCATGAAATTATAAAAATGTCGCTTAGATCTTTTGGTTACCACAATTGTGGAATTATGACTAAGAGTAAAAATCGAATAGGGACAAGCAAATGAATGCATTTTATTTTCTAACTCAAAAACCGTTCGCCGGACGAAAAAAAGACAGGAGACCATTTTTATGAAGAGATAGAGGATAATTACAAAAATAATATTGATTTGGAAAAAAGACAGTGGCGTATCATTATTCTGATGAAAAATATGACAGGGTATGTTAACAGGGACGCCACTGATGGGAATTAAGAAATCCTTTATTATGGAAAAAATGTATTGCTATTCATACTTGCTATGTACCAAAATTGAAGAGAAAAGCCAAAGCGATTCCAGAGATATTGCGGAATATCTGATTTTTTTGTTAAATTTCAACATCCTGTATCTCAGAAACGAAGCTGTTACGGACCTATGTTCACATGAAGAATTTTTCTTAAAATCATCCATGGATTATCGCCCTCTAGGATCAGCATTCAATTTTGAAACACCCTGTATATCCATTCTCTTTATTCATAGTTCATATGAGAAAATTCCTTCTAAATACTTTCACCCAATCAAGTGGTTCAAACTTGAACGATAGAAACTTGTTATTTTAATAGACCTTCAATCGCAAATTCGCCACCTCCTGTATGATGAATATTAATTTGTCGAAAACAGATGACTTGTACTATTTTTTCACCACTAGCTATAGAACCTACCATTATTTACACCTTTTCGAGGCGTGAAGTATTTCTTTCACCAAAGTTGCCTATCATTTTTGGAAATTTTAAGAGGCATAACCACCTCTGTAATAATCAACTCAAATACACTGTTCTGATGCGAGATTCGCAGAAACGGCACTCGAATCTAAGAAGTATGTATCAATAACGACTTGTCCTAATATGCTGTCATAGTAATGGCTACTAGATTTCGATAAGGATTGAAAATAAGTCATTTCATAGTGACAATAGGTACACTCGTTTTCAGAGATCATGTCGCACATGGACGGTGTCAGCTCCCTTGATCACCGCTGCAATAAGAGCGCTGATACCGTCCAACCGCGACATGTTCGTTGAAGACGATTGTACTCACATTCAGTTTCACGGAACTATACAGGGTGACATTGAAGAAAGTACATTGCATAGTTCCACACAATAGAGGACACTAAAATAAGGAAAAAGGTTCCTATGAACATGGGTTCGCAAGGCATTCGGTTAAAAGATACGGGGTGTTGAATTTTGATGGAAAAATGTATTGAAGTACAAGGGCAACAATATGAACATCTTCTAAAAACTTAATGTTTTGTGCTAATTAATCATATTTTCCATCATACCATTAAAATGTAATTGTTGAAGTATATATCATTGTTTTTGCAAAAAAAGTTACTTTGGCGCTTTTTGAATAATTTGCGTGCATTGTCGGCTTTTAGATGCATTTGTACTGAAACCATTGCTTCTAGCGACTTGAACAAGGTATACCTATCTTTGGTATGAAAGGAGGGATAATAAATTTTTTCCGTCGAAAATGACATACAGTCTATAGCAAAAAGGTTACGACCGATTCAATAGGGATGGAACCCTGTATGTAGCGCCCTCTATCAGTCATCACAAAACTGAGATCATATTTGAATTCATCATGATAAAAAACTCCTGTATACGACATTTTATTCATTTCTTGCGTCTTGGGCTAAAGATATTCAAAGAAAACCCAAAAAAAAATTAAATTCAACACCCCGTATCTTTTAATCAAAGGTTTTGCGGACCCATGTTCATATGAACTTTTTTTATTATTTCAGTATCCTCTATTGTGTCACCCTGTATAATAAGTAATTGTAATATATCGCTAGTGGTGGAAAGGAATTAATATACACCTTGGTAGTCCCGGGGTGATTATGATAATATTTTTTACCACCTTGGTGTATGAATAACTATTTTCAGATTTTGATGATGAGTGATGGCATCTAAGGACATAACAAAATCAAATGTGAGTATATGTGATTCAGTCTAATTGTCTACTATTGAATGATATTAAACCATTCTTGATGAACTTACAGATCACAACAACAACACCACTACAGATACATTCAACACATATACGAGCAGAAGCGAAACCTATCGAAAGAATTGAAATAAAAGGCGAAACAAATAGTGATGATCTTTCAATTGCGAAAACCAGTATGTTTTTGTCGAGGTTTTTGTATACATGTCTAGACTAGTATAGTATGCTTGGTTGCTTCAAAATAGTATATAGATGCAAATCAGGATTATTATGTTGAATGAATGGATTCCCCAGAGATCACGATTTTGGTAGAGTCAGATCAGGTTACTTGTGTTTTTCAATTGGCACAAGTGACATGAGTGATTCAATAATAGAATTGGATATATTAATGAATGAATGTGCCTTGTTAACGGCTCAGAAATATACTAAATGTACCATTCTTTATTTCAATCTTCAAGGAATGGAGAATTCAATACACCAGATTTTATCTTTCATTAATACATAACTGAATGATGGATTGTAGATATACAAATGCAAAAAATCAAATATAACGTAATATTATATATTGCATATGATTCAATGTGTACACATATAAATTACATTATCTCCTCTAAAAAAAAAAAACGATTCATATTCAATGACAATAAGAAAAATAAACTGATATAATGATAATAGTCCATCCTCTGATTGACAGGAAACCATCTAAGCACTGATGGGCTTGTGTTATGTTTTCCAGTATCAATCAAGAAATAGCACAGGAATGTTGAGTTAACATTGAATAAGTATGTAAGCTTAACCTACTGGATCAAAGGGTAACAATATAGAACTCCTAATACAATCATTTTCAAAATGATGTTTGAATTGACGAGTCTTTCCATTTCTGTCAGAAAAATTATTAGTGATAGATCGACTTTGGTGTTTTTTGTCAGTCTCGATTTTTTGTTTTATTTTTGAGTGCGTGTATAGTAGGAAATGGTAATAATGAAAAGTTTTTTTTCAAATATTCAATGAATCAGCTTCTTTATAAAGTGAGGTTGTTGAAGAAAGTATGGTTCTCTTCTGTCATATTTTGATGAGACTATTCTGTGTAACTTGTGTACTTTTTGGTGGGCAGAATGGATAAGTCCCTTTCAGATTATAATACAATATCTTTTCATGATTTTTTCTGTCCAAGATGTCTCTCAGTAAGTCAAATTTATGCATCCGTTGCCTGAGTTTTTTCACAATGTATGTAGCGTATTCATTCCACTCTAGGAATCGGTCAACTATTATATAGGTACCTAAATATTCAATTTTGTCGGTTTTCACTATGACAGGGTAATCAAAATTCAGAATTTCTCAAGAAATTAATGCTGAGATGGTTTTTCCTGGGTTGATTTACGCTATTCAGACTAAGAGTTATGAGCAAACTGTGATTCAGCCATAGATATATAGAGGTCAGACTTTTCTTAGCTTTTCTATGCAGCCTGACTAAAGTATTCTCACTGAGAGCGATAGCCGTATCATCTGCATATGATACTAAGTGGCCTTCAAATTCTCTCAGATTTGCAATTCCATTAATATGTTCATATCCCTATTCAATATCCGAAGATCGCCTGAACAAAACCATCATAATCCTGAAAATCGTGAGCTCATGGAAGAACTTTCAACATAAGAACTGAAACACATCATACTGCTTACACTGCTAGAAATCTCGAACATGTTCTGTGATCCATTTATGACAGTATCATTTCATGTTCGCAGGTAACTGGAGAAATCCTTGTGGCATGGCAGAGTTATACAGATATTTTATCAGACGAACTAGACGTGGCAGTGGGCGATGCAGTCGAATTAATAAACACAGAAGATTCGAGTTCATCAGCTAAGTAAGACAATCCTCTACTAATCCTTGACGAATATTTCGTGAATGTTCACTCAAAATCCAGGGACATAGCGATCAGAATTTGACATAAAGGGGATGATCATATCCTGTGCTCATGAATATTTCTTGAGTCTCCTTTTGAAAGTTTTCAACTATTAGTGAATTATCTCGAACTGATGATTTTTTTCTGTGATGGTAAGATAGTTTGACTTTTCATATCTGTTGACAAGTCATGTATTACTCCTTCCTTAAAATAAAAGGCATCAGTATACTTTGATGGGTATTGTTGAGCTAGTTTTGGGAAATAAGCCAATAACATCGTCTCCGAGAAAGAGTTGCAAGTCCTTCCATGTTCTGAATCACTAAACAACTACTAGTTCCACAGTTTTTTCAATATTGAATCACAGAATATCAGACTGATAGATATTTTGTTACTGCAATGTAGGTGGAATTTCTGTTGAAAACTTCACCTCAATAATTTTCTGATCTCAATGGATTCTTTCCAATATCGATACGTACTTTTTTTGTCACAGGAAAAAATATGAGATTTCAGCTTACGGTTTTTCGTCTCCCTACACAACCCCAAGCTGAAATCATCAACTTTTTTTTCCATGTATATAATGAATAACTATTTAAATATTACGATTGCCGAATAATTCACAATCATGGATATGTGAGGATTCGGCTATGAGTTGTCATTTCGTGACTGTGGATTGTTCTTCCTGATGGATTGAAAATAAGAGTTGAAAATCATTTACAGTGTTTTTCTAAAGTCAGGAAACGGTCTCATTATTTCAGAAAGGCTCAGAAGAAAATTCGTGAAATTGTGTAAAGGATGGTTTTTGATGATATATGATTCAATAGTGTTATTAGCAATGTTGCCAAATAAACAATTTTCCAGATACTGAGGGTGAATCAACTCTTTCAAATGGAAAACGATATCTCATCAAATATCAGAAGTCATTATCAATGTGGTTTCTGAAATATGAAAACATGGCATTTTCGTTTAAATGTCTACAAACCGTCCAATACTTTTATAATGGTCTAGAGAGAATTCATGAAATTTGATGCAGAGGATGGTTTTTGCCAATATCACCATTCAATGGGCTTATATCATGAAAAAAATCATTTCATAATTCGATAGAACTCACCCAAACTAGCTCACCACCGCAAATCGTTTCTTGCTGTGAGCTCCCTAGGTTTTATAAAAAATTATTGAAATCCCTGATTTCTCGGACCTCTGAAAACGAGGCGATGATGTGACGTCAAAACTCTAATACTGAAACAAGACTATTCCAGACAGAGATGAATGATACTTGATTTCTGACAGAGTGAATTAGCGCGAGATCACAGTTGAAAGAAATAATATATCAGTTGTCTCAGTCTCCGTCGGGCGTTTGCTATTTTCTCCTAATTATGGCGAGATGAGGTTTCTACGTCATAAGAGGGTCCGTTTTCAGAAGGTACTATTATTTATGTCCGAAAATAAATCATTTCAGTTAATTTTTCGATCGAATTATGTCGTCAATCATTATTTATGTATGAAAGGATGATCATAAACATGGTTTGAGTTTAAAGTTCTACTAAGGTGTACACGCCCATTGGGCATCATTAGAAACCATCCAGCATCAAATTCCATGATTCTTTTCCAGATCATTATGAAAACATTGGACGGTTTGTAGACATTCCAACGAGAGTGCGTTGTTGTAATATTTCGAAAACCATGAGTTTCTTCTGAGTCCTTCTGGGAATATTGAACTGTTCACAGACATTTGAACAAAAATGCCATGTTGTCATATGACAAAAACCACATTGATTCAAAATATGCTATTTTTGAAGACATCAGTAGTTAGAGGACGCTGAATTGATTGCGATTAGAATAAATAGCGTGCTCTATTCGAAAAAATGAATGATAATTAATATATGAGAACATGTTGAATCGGCAAAATTACCAATATTGCCAATTTTTTTGCATTCGGACATGGTCCATACAGCCAGTCACAGTTTTTTTATTTCATATTGATCCTTAAGCCTACCAGCAAAATTGGAACTTTAATAGAAGAAAACACCAGGAAGAACAAAGGATCACAAGGTTTCTTCTCGCCAAGAGGTCTATCATGGCATTTCATTTATGAGACACACAACACAAGACCGCTGAAAAAGGGTATATAACACATAAGGTAGAACACAGAGAAACGAAGCTAAACTACTTCCATTCAAATCTTCAATCCCGTTTTCTGTATGAATTTTATGATACTTTGAGTTATTTTCTTATCATTAAGGGCTAAGAGGTTAAGCAAATTGATGGGAGTGGGAGTTTCCATATTCAAAAGATCAGGGTAGAGCTCTTGGCTTTCTTGTCTTGTGATTCTGCAGTTGAAAAATATGTGATCTAGATCACCCTTCACATTGCAAAGCTCGCATAAGTCCGAGTTGGTTATCCCTATTCTGGCTAGAAAGGCAGGGTGACATCCATACCCAAATTTGAGTCTATTGTAGACAGTAATACATCTTCTGGAGAGATTGAAGTCAGAATGCCAGAACTTCGGGAGGATGTCAGGGTGAATTCTAGTATATCTTGTCGGATTATTTATACAGTACTGGTGCCATCTATCTGACATCTTCTCTGCGTTTATTCTTTTGAATTTCAGAATCAGATCGTCGAGGCCAATTTGGTTTGTTGCTGATGTGGATCATGTCCAATATTGCCATTGAATCGGGCATCATAAAACCATACTGCATAGATTGTTATGAATTTTTTCCGATTTCATAACGGATTATGAGACCGTTGCCATACTTTTGAAAGACACTTGATCCCAATATATTCGAAAATGTCTATATTTTATTTATTTCAAATTTTTTTAAGATATCAGTTAGATACAGAAATTCCATGGATGATCGTAGCATCGTAGTGGCCGTTGAGAAACTGCCGCTTTCTGTTCATGTTATTGATACAGGCATTGAAACGATCGAATGTGTTTCAGTTCGAACTCGATAAGTGAAAAGCGGCAAATGATGATTTCAACGTTCACTATGATGCTGCGACCCTGTTTGAAGTAGTAACAATGTAAGTATTTTTTTTTTCAGGAGAATAAAACTTGACCCAGAACTGGACAAGGTTTCAGGAGAGCTACTAGACAACTCTGCTGCTCGCCATAAACTGTCTGTCAAACCAAAACGCAACCATCTTAGTTCGAGACATTCCCCAACTAGATTAAACATAAATCAAAGGTAAGAAAGGGTTCTCAAAATCAAGTTGGTACTCCTGCTATAGCTAACTTCATTTTTATAGGTGCTATGCTATGTTAGTTGAATAAGCCAACTAAACAGGCTGTTCCGTAATATGTGAGAAACACATCGAGAGGTGATAGGGCTTCTCAAGAAAATAAAAAAGTTATCCTAAACAAATGTCCTAGAATGCTTCGTTTGTAAGATACAGGGTGATGAAGATGAAAATAAAAACTAATTTCAATCGAATTTCTAGAAATTCGAACAGATGAACCTATTTTCAGAGATTGATTTCGATTAAAGTAACATTTGACATTTAGCGAAAGTCCTCGAATTTGGAAATAACCTATTATTGAAAGTTTTCCATATGATGCCAACGTTATGCAGGACGCAGTTAAGGCATGCTTTTTGTTCATATTTTGGTATAGAGACTACTCAAGCAACATACATTTCAATTGATAAAATCGGTGATGCGAACAAACCTAATATACACTCACTGGCAAAATAAACCGGCTACCGAAGAATATGCCCAAATTGTTCACAATACAACTTATTTGATCCGGAATGTTAGCCTGAATATTAGTTCTCCTGGAAAGCTGATATCCTGATCTCTATACAGGGAAAATCCAAAGTTACTCTTTCACCCTATACTTCTCAACGCCCTGTGGCAAAATTGCGTGATTGAACATGGCTTCATCATGCTCCGGATTGAAGAATTATCCATTCTCAACACAAAAGTTTTTGATTCACGTCAATATCTCATTTTTCAAAGAAGATACGAGTGTTTTAAGGAAGTATGGTATATTTTTCAACTTTTTTAACAATAATCAGAACTTACATGAACTTATTGATTATCAACTTCGAGGAATAATATCTCATTACTCTCTTAGCACTCACCGGAAAATCAATTCCCTGTATAATGATCGAGTTATCGGATTTTTTTAGGAACTTATATCAAGGCTATCATTTGGAAAACGATTTGGCCAGAATTTCATCAAAATCGGACTAGAATTGAAAAAGTTATAGAGCAAACAATTTGTCTTAATTATTTGGTGGTCGGTTTTTTTTGCTGGTGAGTGTATTTGACTTTTCGAGAATATTCCTTTCCAATCATTTTTGAATGTTCATGTTGAGAACGGAAGTATATCCGTTTCTGGAACCACCAAAACTAAGTGAAAATTTGGTATTTTCTATAATTATCTATTTACAGTGTGTCTCACTTTAATGGAAACACCCCTATATCTTACGTTATCGTTTTGAGTAAAGATCCTGAAATTTGTTGGAGCGAGATATATCAAAAATGCACCCTATTTCCAAGTAGGCCCATCTTCAGTGATATACAGTGCTTGCCAACAACCATGGAACCATCCCAATTTCCGAAAAATAATATGATGATCAAAATATGTTGGACATCACTACGGATTCGGGATCAGAATGTACAAATTACTGACCATTCATATTTTCCTAGGAATTTTTAGTTCTGAAAATACCCCCGTATCTCACTAAATCGATGGGTTAGGATTTTGAAATTTGCTGGAGCGAGAGATTTATCGAAAATGGAAAGAAAATAGAATTTTTCATGAATGAAAATTCAGCAGGAAAAATAGAAATAGGTAGTTAATCGGATATATTGTTTCCGAATTCGTATAAGTAATTTTCAACCTTCATTCATATTTCGCGTCTTCAAAAATCATTTTTCAATATGAAGCGTCAAATTGATTTTTGCTTCATGGTTTCTTAGTGGAATTTCTGAACGAAGTGACATTTTGGGCTGAATTGTCTGATTTGTTCCTATCCAACTGACAGATACTATTTTTTCTTATATTTATAGAAACAAGAATGAAAAATTCTAGATAGTCTAGTAAGAATGGAGATTTGGCAGAACTCAGTGAATACTGCGTCTGTTTGAGTTGCTGCAGCAGCAATTTGAAAGAGACATTCGAAACACCAGTATTATGCGAAAGGAGATCACTATCAGAATCATATAATCGCAACATATTGTATTATTTATTTTTTGAGATAAATTGTTCCTTGCCCAGTGACTACTTCTTATTTTGCTTCCACTTCCATGGGCTAAACTTTATGATGTCCCTGATCAGTTCACGGTATTTTTTCAATGTAAAGTAGGTCAAAATGATCTTCCAAACATATTCTCCTGAAAAAATCAAGCAGTTTCAAGTGTGAGATTCTACTAACAGTACAAGAATATCTTATTCCGATGTTCTAACTGAAAAAAATTAATGTCTTGGCAATGGTGAATCTCGCGGTATAATACCATCAGAATCGCTATCGTGAAAGTTCTCATTCAGGAGCTCATTCATCACAAAAAATATACAAATTCTTATGACTTTTGGTATGGAAGTCAGCACTTTTTTTTTTCAATTCCTTTGAACTATTCGGTATACACGATTCATTAAACGTTATTTTCAATTTGACCATTTTCAGATGGCTAGTGAAACAAGTGAAAGGAGATAAGCAAGGATGGGTTCCATGCAGAATTCTGCAGACTGCGGACGATCCAACTTTCAATACTACTGGCCTTCCAGGAGATGCAGAATTCAGGAGACTGTAAGTAGGAGAAATACATCACATTAAAATTTAGAAAGCACAGTTATTAGTACTTTGTAAAATTCAGAATCTTCAACTACAATAGAATATTGTTAAGAAAAATGTACATGAACGCCATCAAGATTCGTTCACAATTCAAATGTTAGGTTCTGTTTCGTTAACAGTTGAAAGACAAGAACTCTCTTCATCTCATCCTGCTTATTTCCGCATTCAACAATCATACTTGACACGGCAGAAATTGAAGTGACATCAGGAGCATAGCTACTAGATGGAAGGAACAGGCAGTTTCAAAGCAGTGCTTTCTTTTTCACCGATGTCAAAATTATCGACGTTATCGTCACCTGGTGTTTTGGGCAAATTAATTGATTTATCGGGGTATACAATACATCAGAGATTATGTTTTTAACGATAAATACATCAATATCCGAGTTCAATAGTGTTACAACTCGAAAAATAACCATTTTAAGTGGTATACGCTATCTGGTTCATCATTTTGTTAGCTTTCACGTGCAATACTGTAAAAATTTCCAGTACTGAACAAGAGATGGTGCTAGTTACTCTATTGAACTGAAGAAAACTTCAATATGTTTCAATAACAAATCCATTGAATATACAAATGTAACAAAATTCTCAGGTCTTCATATTGATGAACAATTATCGTGGACTCTACATATAGATCAATTGAGGAAAAAATAAAATCCTATTGATGGTATTATAATATATAAAATTCGAAATTTCATTCCTTTTTAATACCCGAACAGTATTTATTATTTTCTCTTTTATCCAAATATACAATATCTAATATCTATTAGGGGAAGTACAAATATCTCACGTTTAAAGCCACGCATGAAATTACAAAATGAAACAATAAAGTGCATTTTCAATTCTCCTTTTTCAGAATCAACTGTGAATCTATACAAATCGAGAGACTGAATCAAGTTTCATTATATCAACTCAAAATTTGTTGTTTCATTCATTTTGTCAGGAAGGAATTGAAAATGTCTAATTTGAATTTTAATGAAGTTAATACGATTCACGCCCATGAAACAAGACAATTCAATTTATTGATAGCAAATAATTATAAGTCAAATTTTGGTAAACAATCAATATTCGATAATGGAATAATTTCATATAACTCCTTACTCAATGAGTTGAAAATTATAGGAGAAGCCGAAAAAATTAAAATACAATCAAAGAAATATCTGCTCAGTAAACTTCAATGCCATATCTACTAATAGTACTAATCATTCACAATTTGATTACTTGTGATGGAGTATGATATTCTCATTTTATATTTCTTCATAATGTTCTTTATAAAAAACAATAATCTTTCAATTATTATTCTCTCGATTTATTAGGTTATATTATGTATACATCCCTATTATAAACAATAATGTTTCTTGGGGTAATTGAGACAATCAATTTCCATATAATTCTAACCTGTAATATTTCGATACAACAATCAAGACTTGTTACAGTTTCGATCTGAAATATTTTCAGTGATTCAGAGTTGTTTCATTGCATAGCTCGAAATTGTCGATTTCAATACTCAAAACAATAGTTATTTGTTTTAATTGGCTGAATTCCTAGCCTCGCTACGCTCGCCTATGAACTATCAGCCGCGGCAGTCAATCTACATTTGCTGCCGTGTGAAACATAGAATTTTTTCAACAAATGATATGAAATCAATTTTGTTCAATTTTTTATTGAAAACTCCATCATTTCGTGTTCACCCAATGTCAGTGTCAATTTTGATCACTAATTCCATTAGAATTTCTTGAAACGATGCATAGTAACAATTTTTTTCTACCTAGGCAGTAAAACTACATATTTTCTTCCTTTTCTGCCTGCCGCTAGGAGAGAAACTATGGCATATCATTGCTTCTATAGTGATTGTTGTTACTGAATTCACTCCTCTGATGATGATGATGAGTTTTGATCGGAGAGCTTCATATTATCAATTATATAATTAGAATCCATAGTGTAACAAGTCCGAACAAAATAAATTTTTACCAGAAGTTCTTTCTTTAATTCGTTTGAATTCAGCTAGTGAATAAAAATTACGATGGCAGGGTTATCATTCCATATTTTCGAGACAAAATCTACAAATTTGGATACTTGAATTTTCAATTGCGATTTTCTCGAAACTTCACACAAATATTATATCGATTCTTTTTTATGAGAATTCACTTTTTCTACACGAGGTGTAATGAGAATCGTTCCACCATGTCTTGGGGATGCTGGCATGGATACACGCCTATTCAATAAGCGGTAAATATACACGAAAAAAAAAAGTTTTCTTGCACCAACAAAATAACTTTGCTCATTTTTTTTTGTTAAATCAACACAATTTTGCGGAATCAACAAAATATATGATCATTCCAAATGAGCAACCTATTCAAAAAATAAAATGATTTGATTGAAATATTTGCTTACTTGAACAAAAGTTTCATATAGTTGATATAAAACAAATTCTGTTGATCCAACTATCATCGCATTGTTATATCAATCATATGCATTCTGTCTATTTGACAAAATCAAATCAATTTTGACAATGATTTAACTAAATACAAATAATTTTTTGTTGAATCATCAAATATTCTATTGTTCAAGCAATCAAAAGGTTTTTTTCTATTCGACAAAATTGAGTTGATTATGACAACATTATATTTCGTTGATTCAACACATCATTATCGAGAAATTTGTTATTATTTCGAAAAAATTACTTCGTTGAACAGAACCCACACATACATTATATCAAAAAAATATTTTGTTGAACGATTATCTGTTTATTCTTATTAATATCTTATCTTATTATTACGATTATCTAGTTGAATTCTTGCCACCAGGTAGCCTTTCTTCCAACCTTCCTACGCTCGCCTCGATTGGGGTGTTCATATACCTACCTAAAACATCTATTTATATAATTATATTGGTCTGTCCTAGAAATTCTTATGACGCTTATACAAGCTGATAGGCTTGAATCAACTGAGGAAATTGATCTCTGATTTCTCTTAGTTTTGAAATGCAGTTATTTGATTTTTCAAATATAATTCAACAATCATTTCAAACAACAGAATCGTTATTAATAAGAGCAGATTATGAATTATAGAAACAAAATAGTTTTAATTTATGCAACCAATTTCTGCTGTTGATTTGAATCATTAATGAGTAACATCTAATGAATTTTGAATTGAGAACTGACAAAAAACATTGCAGTGACAAAATATTTTGTCGTGGATATTATGACACTCAGATTTTGTTGAACTCACAAAAATTTTGTATTTTCAAACACTTTTTTTTTCTGTGTATAACAATAACTCATAGTGATTATTGTATCAACGCTCATTGAATTCATTTGATATTATTATCATTATTTTTGTATATTTTAATTATCAGGGCTGTTGTGAAAGAGCTCATCGAGACCGAACAAGAATTTGTACGAGACCTGGATCATGTCGTAGAACGCTATCTTATCCCTTCAGAATCTGGAAAAGTACCAAAAATTGTCAAGGACAACTTCGATGTCATCTTCGGAAACCTCAAAGAAATAGCCGAATTTCATAGGACGTAAGTACAATTTTCAGATTTGCTGGAATAAGATTCTGACTTTGTTATTATCATGCAGTATATATATCATAAAAAATGCTTCAATATGTTTCAATAACTCTGGAAGATTAATTTGAATAAAAGGAAATTTGAATTCCCGAGGAAAGCGATTGAATGAGATCTGGTCCTACGCGGGTGTTTAAAATAAATTGACTAGGGTAAGTAGAACACCACAAAACAAGTCGGGTTTCCTCTGTAAAATAATGTCGTGATGACATCTTTCCTCGAAATACATGGTGTTGAAAAAAAAATGTTAGACAAGGTTCGTACCGACTAGGGTCCCTTGATGGAAATTGACATTAAAGTCATCTTAACAGGGTACGGACAGATCCTCGTCTCCTCTCACTCTAAAGTGTTTGTGAAACAGTTATATAGTTCCATCCTTATTCAATTCTGGGGATAAACACTAGATTTTTGACATTCGTTGTTTTTTAGGTTATATTGAGGTCACTGGCGTATCATACGTAATTTCCATATGGAATTCCTGATTCAATACTCGCAATGACTATAGCAAGAAATAGATAAACAATCCTCTAGTTTTAGAGTCTACTACTCCAGCATAATCTTTGCGAGGTAGGAATCATATGAATTGTACTGAAAGCTTAATATATTTCAGCAAAAGAGACTGTTCTTAGACTGTAAATAAGGGTTGACTGATTGACTAAATGAATTCTGACTTCAAACTGAGCAGAAGTTTATCTATGAGCTGAATGAGCTGAGCCTTATGATTGAGAAATGGTGGAAACCTCCATTAGGGTATCTGAAATACTGTATTCATGTCATGTGTGCTCAATATATTTTCGGAAATACATTTCTGAGAAGAATTTATGGAATGACTAATATGACACTATGTATAAAACTTCATCTGAGACGAAAAGTAGGCTCAAGGCTGATGAAAAGTAATACGTTAAATGTGCAGGTAAATAAATGATACAATATACTTTACCCCAATGTTATACATATGATTTTTCCGTCTCTTGAATTTTCGAATTTTGACGAAACAATCATTATCTCCTACCCCGAAAACCCCCAGATACCAATCTTAAATAGAAGCAGATCATTATTAGGAATTTCTTTCGCTCTATATTGGATTCTTCATCTTGAATTTTTCAAGTTTGACGAAACAATCATTATCTACAACCCCGGAAAACCCCAGATACCTTCTAATTCTGAATAGAATCGGATCATAATTACAAAACTCGTTCGCTATCTGATCTTCCTCAACAAATAAATACTTGTGAATACCCTGTACATACCTATTATTAAAATTTTGAATGATTTTTGTAGCGTCCATGATTATGACGTGACAGCAATGTCAGGGATGCCAGTAGACAAAACTAAAGTCTCTAGATCATTAAAAAATAATGCAGGTATGATCTGTCCGTACCCTGTTAAGGTGACTTTTACGTCAATTTCCATCAAGGGACCCTAGTACCGACTAATTTCAAACATGACTTATTTGAGGTTAGCTTTTTCAATACAAACCCATTGTGTACTTGAACAACATTCGATTCAACATCAAGAAGGTAGGCTATTAGTGGAACTCGGTACTGTGTACCGTTCTCAGAAAATTTTGATTTGAAAATGATGAATTGAAACTGTCAACTATTTAATGAGAATCGAAAATACGAATATCTCTCTAATGCTGACCTCGTTAATCGAACAATGAACCATGCATGAATATTATTGAAATAATTTTGATTGAGAACATGGATATCACAGTTTCATTTTTATCTTCATGGAACAAGTAAGTCTATGCTACAGAGGTGAATGCACTTCAAGAGCTGCAAGACAAAATTGAAAATAAACTAACAGCTGATCCTCAACCGTCTAGGAGAATGATGCATTATTATGAAAGAAGAATAAAATCGTGTACACGTGGAAACGGAGCACATCTTGAACAATTTAGTTCACAACTGATTCAATACTTTATATTTTCAGTCTAATGTATCTTAATTTTCGCTTCTCTTTATTTTTTTTCTGACTCAATTCATTTAGCACAAGGATAATGTTATTATTTTTGAATAATATAAAAAACAAGGGTGATTGATCTCAATTATACTCATTTCATTCCAGCATCAGCTATCATTCCATCATTTTCGAATCGAAATGTTCCGAAAACCGTACAACAGTATTCGGTTTTATCAAGATTACCTTGAATGACGTTCAATTACCACTTCTTCTCACCGCGTTTTGCTGATTGTAGCCTTCCTCTACAAATATTCATCAGTTGTACAAACCTTGATTTACCGTGTATCTAGCGACCTCTATATGAGAGTCAGATATAAAAATTAATTCTTGCGATGTGCCAGCTTTCAGATCATACCCATACAAAATATCATCACAATGTTGCCAGTAGTTTCGACATTATCGTGAATAATGTGTTTAAGATATTTTTCAACACCTTGTATCTTGCAAACGGATGCTGCTACCGCACTTTTTGTTACTGAGAGAGGAAGTATTTCCAAGAACTTATATTCTACAAAAGTTCAAGACAATTCAAACACTTAACTCCTTTCCCTACCCTCCCTATAGGGACGCACAATGTTCTTCGAACATCATAGAAATTCACTTTCGTGCTCACCAAGCGATGAAAAATTTAAAAAAACAACTTATTTTGCAGTGTTCAACCTATACCGTAGCAAATGGGTCACCTCTTCTCGAAACACCCTGAAAAACGATGAATTTAATTAGTCCGTAACGATAACAGGTTATAGAAACTCGAGCCGATATTATGTTCCTCGAATTATAAGAGTCAGCTTGTCTGCACATTCTTCCTATGATCATTGCACTACGCCTACAAATTCACCAATGTCTGTGATCAGATAAATCAAATTATGTTGGTCTCTTCGTCCTCAAATTAAGCAGATTCTCCTGAAATTAATGAACTATATATCCGTTACAATAATTGTGCGACATATTGAAAAAGACGATATAATTCCACTGTTCAACCAATTATTTGCATTTCGATTGGAGGATTAGTGAGGAAAGTGTTTTGAGCAAATCATGAGAAAATTATTGGACATAGCCCTCATATAGGGGTAACCGCAGACACGTCTTTCGGGCATTCGGGCCTCATGAGAACAATAAAAAAAAGTGTGCAAAGGCAACACTTGGTGGAAGATAAAACCACAAATCGACGGAGTCAACAAACAGAAACCAGCAGCTCAATTGAAAGGTACACGAAAAATAGCAGATATGTCACTTCATATCCAAATTGAGTAAATTGATTTTTTATGTTCAAAACGGAATATTTTTATTCTGAGTAAATATATAAACAAGCTGTTCACATTCAACTAGAGCTTACATCATGAAGAACTATTTAAATTATAATTTTTTTCTGTGACGGGAAAAAAGTTTGGCATTTCATCCCTGTTGGCAGGTTATAAAATGTCACTTTTCATAAATTACTTTTTTCCCGCTACGCTACGCGTCGGGAGACAACACAACCTGGAGCTAAAATCTACTACTTTTTTCCCTTGAATAATAAATAACTATTCATAGTAAAAATCATTTAATGTCTTGAATAATACAAAAAATCGCAATCACTGCATGTTTTGCAGTGAAGAAACCAGTTATGTCATCTGAAACAAACAAAAACCATGTATGTCACATTTATCTCTACACCAGTAACAATACTGTTTTTGTATTATTTTATCTATTATTTCGATATGGAATTGTTTCTATACAAGTATATAATTACTTTCATCTTACTTGTTAGTGATGGGCCAGATTTTCGCAAAATAAGACGCGAAAAGTTTGAGTGACATCGCTGATGGTTTTTAGAAGGACGCACAGACAAAGCTGGTTTTTCCCCTGTACGGTACATTTAAGACGTCCTTCAGTACAACGCTATGCTGGTTTTCTCGCAGTTTCAGTGTCGCAAAATATGCGTCTTCAACTAGAATGTACAAGTGAAATTGACATGTCTGCTTTTTTCCGTGTACCCTTCAATTGTGGTTTCTATCAGCTGACGTTAGTTGTAGTCCCGAAAATGCAGGGCGTGCCGACTGAACATGGTTTCTGTTAGGTTACCTTTGATGAGCATTGCCCAGGCCGTCCCTCTGCCACATCCACAATATAATAACAGTTTCACCTAACGAAATTATGGAATTCTTCCTGGTTCCAAGTTTCCAACTCGGATTCCAAGGAAAATCATCCCACTAATTCTGGTTTTATATGACAAATCTTGACAAGATACTGTCACAAACTGTAGGCGGGGGTTGCCTAAGTTGTGTTCTAGATCCATTAGAGAATGAACTTTGGATGTGATCATAATAAATAACACTCAGAAGGGTTTTCAAACAACACATATACACACATTTATTCTTGGAAATGAATAACAATTAAATAAAACCTTAACTTACCCTATATGAAAGATAATATTGCTGGGACCTTAGAGGAAGGGCATCTTCTGTTCTGCCCGAACTCCGAAGATTCGGGCACAGTGGCAAATTTTACAAACTTACAATCGGTAGAACTTAGACTTACCTAACTCGTATAACAGAAACAGAGCTAGAACTCAAAAATGTCAATTGAACTCGCAGCCTTACCGGTAGTCGCACTGTCGAACCCGCTTCCTTACGTCTTTTAAATAGTTCTCTTCATTTCCGGAAACGTGACAGTAAGGAAATCAGGTCGATAGTCCAGGTTCGTTGAAGTCAATGTCACGCATGTGTTTATGTTCAACTATGGAAAAAAGAGTTCGTTCACGATTCGAAAATTTTGGAATTAATAAACAAAGACGCGACCGTTCAATGACTTCGAACCTTGTATGAATTTGAATGAATGAATGAAAAATAACCCTATTTGTGACAATACAATGTTTGCCCCTCAGCAACCAGTCAAATGACGTAATTCTGTAATGATTAATTGTGCTGCAGGCTTTTGTGGAAACCCTTATGTTGATGGGGGAAAGATAGTGAAATCCACGAAATAATGAAATTCAGGGTGTTCCGTTGAAGAATATTTTAGTTTGTGTCGTATCTCTGAAGTCAGACCCCGAAAAAAAAATGTTTTGGGTACGCCACGGGATTGATCGCAAAATTATCTTCAAGACATAGTGCTTAGCTCAAGATTATTGTGCATAACAACGTGAATATCCGAAAAGTACGGATTTACAAAATCACCCTGTATCTCATAAACGATAACAGTTAGGCAGAATCTGATTCAATAGCAACCGAGAATCCGGTAGTCTCAACCAAAATATGATAGATAGAAAAAAAACGGATATCGGTGCCTGAGGGTCGATTCGGAGTTACAAGGTGTTCGTCGAAAATAGGCATTTATGAAAAGTGGCTACAAATATTTTTTTTTTCAATAATTGTATGTTCCCATGAAAATAACAACAAAGCATTGAGTTTGTGATAACAATCATTCCTGAAGGCACTGTAATCGGCCTTCCTATATCTTGTTCAAGAATTACCTTACTTTAATTCTCTGGCAAAAAAGAGGATGTGGAGAAATTTTCGAATGAAGATCTTGAGAATATATTCACCTGGATCTGTGACAATGGACTCAAAATTAATGTAACAAAGACGAAATTCATGATTATATCTTCGAAAGCAAATTCATTCAAAAATGATCCAGGAAAATTAAATGAAATTCAATATTCTGATAAACGGAGAAATCATTGAAGAAGTGAAAATGTTCAAGTATTTGGGAGTGATCATCGATAATCTATTGAATTTTAACAGTCATTGTGAATACGTACATCAAAAAGAAAATTGCGCGAAAAATAGGTTTCATGTGCAGGCTTGGTGATGAAGTATCTCATTTCACGAAATTAACAATTTACAAGTCAATAATTTCACCTCATATTGATTATTGTGGTACTTTACTGAGTTTGTTGAGTAATGAACAGATTAATATACTGCAAAAAGTCCAAAATCGTGCAATGAGAGCTATCTTGGGTTGTAAAAGACGCACACCAGTCACAACAATGCTGAACACATTGCAATTAATGGATATCAAGCAAAGAGTTTCATATAATACACTAATTTTTGTTTATAAATTGAGAAATAACATATTGCCTTTGTATTTATCAAGTGAGCTATATTATGTTCAAGATGTACATTGTCACAATACCAGAAGACAAGCAGCGAATGATTTCTATATAAATTCAGTGAATATTGTCTGTTATACTTTATATACAAAAGGTCTGGTATTGTTCAATAATTTGCCCTGTGAAATGAAAAGATGTGTGTCAATAGATAGTTTTAAAGGATCGTGTGTGTTATTTGTGAAAGAAAATTATTGATTGATCAATTGAGAAAGGAGAAATATGTTAATTACCCTTATATTAAAATATGTGACGTAATTCATGTGTCTGTGTCTTAGTTCTATATTTGCATGTTTTTATTTTACCATGACAAACACAACGCATTGAGAATAATTTAATAAAAACGAAGAATTCTTGACAAACAATGAGTTTCAGCTACTTTTCGAAAAGTCATATTCTCGAAAAACACCCTGTAACTCTGAAACGCAGATAGATATCGGTATGCAGGCACCAACATCAGTTTTTTTCTATGTAGTACGGGAATAAGACTTTTCCTTCAAAAGTGTCTAATTTTGCCTACCCTGTACAATGCCCGCAGGCATGAGATACTGCATATAGTTAATGCCAGCGAAATATAAATTCCGTATGAATAATATCATTTTTGAAAGAAAATTGTTTTCGTAGGTTTCATTTCAAGCTTGACCATGTATATTTATATTTTATTACAGAGTTTTGATAGAAGGTGTGAAATATCAAGCGAAGAATCCTGTGATGATTGGAAAGACGTTTCTACGGCTAGAAAGAGACTTCGACAAACACGTTAGGTACTGCAGTGATGAACCCGTAGCTCAGGAGTTGCTGGATACATGCGATGAAATTTTCGATTATTTTGCAGTAAGTACCTTCATTAAACAGTAATGTTGAAAGAGTTGTTACGAATTCATTCGAAATTCAGGGGTTTGTTTCCTTGAACAGCGCTCGACGGAAGATGACACGAAAAATTCGAATATCACTTCAATGTGGACAAATAGAAACATTTATTAGTCAAATTCAACAAATAATTGAATTAAATTTTTGAGATTCCTGGAGAAGTGTACCTCTTCAGTTAATCTACAGGCAGTATTCACACAATTCATAATTTCGGTATAGTTTATTTATTGGCAAAGTATTACACTAGAGTGCTTTCACAGGTCAGATATATAAAAAAGTGAGAGGAAAAATGTTTAAATTGATTGATATAAAATGGTAAAAAAAAATCACATATAGTAGGACGAAGCTTTCCCTTTTCATGGGAACCAGAATATAAAAAACTTTACTGATGGTAGCAATACATAGTAAGACAAACATCAAAATATCAAAATATGGAGTCGAATACATTCACATACTGAAATCACTTTCTAGATACTCCTCGGTGGAATAGAAAAAAATTTTCAGGAGATAGGTTTTGACTTTGGATTTAAAATAGTTATAATCTAGGTTCTTCATCTCTATAGGAAGAGCGTTATAAATTGTTTTGCCGTAGTAATCGGCGCCCCTTTTTGTACGTTCTGACATGTGGTAGCTCAGGACTAAATTAACTCTATTCCTAGTTGAATATGAGTGGATATCCCGATTTGATTTGGAGTTTACTCAGTTCAGATTCATGTGGGTTAGACAGTGAAATAAAGAAGTACAAGGAAGTTTGAGGAGTCCCAGTTCTGCAAAACTTTTTCTACAACAATCTCGATATTTGAAGCCTGCGATAATTTCAGCACAGCGTCTCTGTGATTCGAAGATTTGAACAGTATTGGGGGAATGACCCCAATTCAAAATTGCATAGGACAAATTGGAATCAAAGTATCCATGGTGAGCCAATAATAGGGTGACCCTGGATACATTTTTTGGAAGGCTTTTTATTCGGAAAGGTGTTTTGGACAACTTGAAGCCTAGATAATTGATATAAACGTTCCAAGTCAATCCTGGATCCCAGTGGACTCCCAAAAGTTTAACTGATGCCTGACATCCTACGTTTGATGAAGAGGTTTCCAAAGTAAAGTTCATATTATGCGTCTTGTTTGCATTTAGGCTCAATTTGTTAGCCAAAAACCAATTCTCAATCTGGTCATCTTTATTTTGGGGCCACTGAAGTATTTGGTCTGAGAGGTGTTAACGCATCAACGTAGTGGTGTCGTCAGCAAATAAGATTGTGAGCAGCGTGATGGCATTGACGGAGTTAGGCAGGTCATTAATGTGAATGATGAACAACAAAGGAGAGCCCTGTGGAATTCCGTGCTGAATCTTCTGTTAATTTGATTCAATAACTTGGTAGGTTTCAATGCAAAAAAACACAAACATGCCTTTTCTCTAGAAAAGCCGATCTCAGTGTACCAAACATAAGCATGTCAGGAGTGACCATATCTTTGAAGACATCCATTTCGATGCTTGGTATTACTATCAGCAATAACCTTTCTTAGGGAAGTCAGATGAGATCAATTGCTAAAAGTGCATCCCAAAAACCTGGTTTTTTAGAGCTATTTCACTTCCAGTCAGCTGTTAATGATTTATAAGGCACGATCCGACCTGTCCTGGAATACTGTCCCTATATTTGGAGTGCGGCACCCAAACATACCATGAAACTGTTGGATTCTATTCAAAAAAGGGCAATTCGTCTCGTCGGTGATGCCTCACTCACAAATTCACTCACTTCTCTTGAACACCGTAGAAAAGTTGGCGATCTGGCTCTTTTTTATAGATATTCTCATGCCCCGCGAGATTAACCCGTCGAGTAGAGGCTTCACACCCCTTCGTGGTCACTTTGGAGACCTGCAGAACATCTCTTTCCAAAGACTCGTTCATCCAACAAACAGCGAGGCTCTGGAACACATTGCCAAGGGAGGTGTTCTCCGAGGCATATCTCCAGAAATTTCGAAAGATTATACATTTCTACCTTATTTTCCTTGATTCTCACGATATTCTCAGAACATTACAGGATATTCCTTTTCGTGGGAACCAAAAACAAAAATTTAGAATCATTGAAAAAACCATATTGCTTCCTCGCCTCCGAGTACGAGTCAAATAGTTTTTTATAGAGGATTCCAAGAGAAATACAATCGAACGCCTCCGTCAAATCGAGGAAGGTAGCATAAGTATTCTGTTTATTAGCGAGGCCTTCAGCTACAAACTCAATTAGCTGATCTATGGCTAAGGTAGTACTTCGTTTATTGCGAAAACCACACTGGTTTGGTGAGAATATAAAAATATGAAAATATGAAAAATATTCATTCATTCGATCTTTTAACAGTGATTCAAATATTTTTTTCATTATTGGCAACAATGATATCGCCCTGTAGTTTGTTTGATCATCGGTACACCATTGTTCTTGTATATGGATATAACTTTCGCCAGCTGGAGATGAGATGAGAATTCACTTACACGAATGCAATGGTTGAACATGTCAGTCAATGACTTACATAATACACTCAGTTCCAAAAAAAGTGACGCACTTGATATTTGACCTATCTTAAAAAAAAATAGTTGGCCGATTTGAATGAATGAACATTTACCGCAGTATTTGATCGATTCCGTAAAATCTACAATCTCAAGAAGCGATCATCTCTTGGAAGAGTTTTTCGGGGGCGACCAAAACCGACCCTCCGAGCGGGGTGCTTTCTGTTTGTTCGTACTTGCGGATTGCTCTACGAGCAGTTGCTTCATGAACTCCCACTACACGAGCGGCGTAACGTACGTTTACTACGCCCATCGTTTACTAACGCAACTAATCGTCCTACTTGTTCAGGATTTATTTGAGGCATTGTATGTAATTTTAGTCAATAAAACAAGACACTTGATTAATGACACAACGACAAATAGTCAAATATGGAGGCATACAACAAATTAGTTGCTATGGCAACGGCATTTGTTTTTTCAAAGACAATGTGATCCTATCAGAGTACAACCCAATCAATTTTGAGTACTCTGATCCTTCAATAAATTTAATTTGTGGGATTAGCGTAGGGTATCAGCAAAAAAGCAGTAATTCCGAAAATTTCAGAGATATATCAATGAATAAAAAAACGAAATTCTCGCAAAAGAATCCTCTTTCGTATATGGTATGAGCACTTTGCATACCATTACTCAATTAACACACAGGGTGAGTCAAAAATTAAGAATAAATCATGGTTCGAGTTATTCCATCACCATCAAGGAGGCTTTGAAAAAATGTTCACCTCTTTATTTTTTTTTCAAAGACAAATGCATTACCCACCAACAAATAAAAAAAATAAAAATCGGCCTACTATTTTTGTTCTTTTTTTTCAAGAAAATAGGTCAAATATCAAGTGAGTCACTATTTTTGGAACTGAGTGTATATCCTTAAGCCGTTTGATTTACAGGAAACAAATCGATTACAGTAAGTGATTAACAGTACAACAGTTCGAATATTGAATTCGATTCCTTGTTATTTTCAACTAACCGATACATTATTGATATATTCAATCGTATATATATTTTTGAGTAGGTACTACCTCTGTGAACCTTTCAGAATTTTTGGAAATGCGCCTATTTGCTTGCAAGCTGAATGAGATTTTTGCATTTTTAATCAAATGAAATGGTTTTTATACGTGGAAAAAATGCAGGTAGTCATTTTCTCTGCGGATTCATTTGTTTTGGGGATGCTTCAGATGAATCCGAAGTTTGCAAACAAAATTTCCTTGAGCGTTCCGAGATATTCGCAGAGAAATATGTTTGTCCGTACCTCGCAAAATATATATTACAGAAAAAAAAATCACCCTATGAAAACTTGTAGTAGATGCAATTTTCTATATATGATTGTTCTTGCCTATGAATGTAAGACTGACGGGTGAAGAGCTAGAGCAAGTTGAAAATATACCTCATTTTGTTAGATCTATGAATGAAGAATGTTTCAAAAATAATGTTGAAAAAATCCTTCTTGGACATTTCTTTTACTCTGTTGATGAATATTATCGAACATCAATTTTATAATCGTGTTCTTGTTATATTTGTTTCTTATTTATTCAATTAATGTTTGTCTTTTTCCTGTGACTACTATCATTTGTGTATGATTGTACTTTATTTAGTTGTATAAAATTTTCTGTGATTTCTTTTCTACATGATTCTGTAACCCTGACGTGCTATAAACCATAATATGTATTAGTAACATAGTCAAATAAATCTATCTATCTATCTATCTATCTATCTATCTATCTATCTATCTATCTATCTATCTATCTATCTATCTATCTATCTATCTATCTATCTATCTATCTATCTATCTATCTATCTATCTACCAAATTTGCGTATTCTGCGAGAAATAATATTTTTCGTCGGTTCTCGTAAATAATTTATAATTCACGAATTTCTAGAAGGAACAAATTTTACTGCTGATGTGAAAAAGTCCTGGCCAAGGAAGTTATTGATGCTTTCGTCAGCGTGTAACTCGATTCTTGATTTATCACAGTACACAGTTAATATACCTGAAATATATATATATGAAATATATATAAATTATTTGTCATCGATCAACCCTCAGAAGTCTTTAAGAGACTTGGGCGAGCAAGGAATGACGATAGTATTACTTTTCAACCTGTGATCCCAAACACTATCTTATTTCTGCAGTCGTTGGATTCGAACTACACTGAAATGAAGATGAGTGAAATTTTACTCAAACTCCACTCAATAATGTCTCAATTTTGGTCCACGCCCGATTGAATTGAGAATTCACTACACTTGACTAAGTGAAATGGTAATTTAATGAGTGAATTTGAGGAATCAGAATTGAGTCAAGGTTTCTTAGTTTGGATTGAAATATATTCTAGTTTCGCGATGTCTTGAGTGAGTTTCAACCCATTTTCGAGTGCCAAGAACATTTTTTGGGTGTGTATATGACCAGTATCGA